GAGTAACTCTGCAATGGGATAAGATTTATTTATGTATCGAATTATCTCAATTATAGTCTTAAAATTCCTTTTAAGGAGTCAAGGCAGAATAAAAAGATTGCACAGTTTTAGGGATAATAGGACGAGTTTGACAAAGGCGACTTAAAAATAGATGAATAAAAAAACAGACGATAAAAAGAAACTAAGATAAAAATATAAAGTTCAATTTTTTTAAAAGTACTACCTGTAGTAATTGAATCAAGTAGACAAGACAGAGTCTATTTATAGTAGGTAGACGGCGCACTATATGGCAACAAGCAGATCCTGATTGTCCAGACTGAGGACAAGAAGTTAGAGCAGATCCAGAGGCCACAGAGGAGGAGTTTGAAGAACCCGGCGTAATGTTGCCAGATGAAGCAGCTTTCAGGCATTCCGAGTGAAGGCTAATCGGGATCAGAGGTTCAGCCAACTCGCGGAACCAAAGCTTGAGCAATGCTGCCGGTAGGTGGGCATCAGCTGGATCGACTGAGGTCGGAGGCGTCAGAGGGATCGCCGAGAAGTTGTTAGAGGAACGAGTAGAGGCTAGTGAAGTCGAAACAGTAGAGTTGTGAGGAGCGGTTGACGAAGAGGAAGGAGAACTAGGAGGTAAAGATTGTCCAGAAATGTTCGAAGCCGACTGAGAGGCACAATGGGAAGAGTTTGCTGTTAAATAGCTACTAGCATAGAGTGAAGATGTACCAGAATTCATATTCAGAATCATTTGACTAAGATCACATGGCCAATGGCAAGCCGGAGTGATCAGCGTGGTCACGGAGGAAGAATAGCCGGACCTAGTGTTCATCAAGCCACCACCGTGCAAGGACGGTGAAGTGGCGGAGACTGACGAGTAATCGAGGCCACCGAGGGGATCATTGATACGATCGAGAAGAAGGAGCGTATCGTTGTCTTTGCCGACAGCCTCAAACGGTGACCAAGGGAGGTCTCTAGTTAGCCGGGTCGGCAGCAGAGGCAGCCGAAATGGGCCAGTCAACTTGGTAGATATGGAAAGACGAGGAGGATAGTCTGGTAGCTGATCAGCTAAAGAAGAGGCCTGTTGGGGTAGGGAAATATAAGGATCGCACGATTAATAAGCACATATTTGAGTAAATAAATGATTAAAAATGCCAAAAATATGGTCACCTCA